GCTTTTTTCTTTTTGCTTATGTGGTGCTGAGGAATCGAACCCAGGGCCTCAGGCATGCAAGGCAAGCGCTCTACCACTGAGCCACCTTCCCAGCCCTCATCTGTCCTTGAATGCTGTACGGGATCCTGAGCAGACTCTGAAAATGTTCCCAGCATTGCTTATTCCCCAACATTATAATGGCTATTCACCAGGCACCATCTTCTATTTGACAAATTCTTCTTTGGAGCACAAACTCAGAGTGCCCAATGAAGCAACAAAACTTGCCTTCAAACAGGTGTTCTGGTACTTGGGAGTTCCGGTGCTAATCACCAGGTTAGTATAGTTAAGGTACTTGGGGATCACTGATCTGAAGAGTAAACACTAATTCATGTTCCGTACTCCATCAGTCTCCATTTGGGTGTATATATTTACCTTTAATTTTTAATTTTGTTTTTTACTTTGGACTTCTTTATGCCGGTGACTACTTAGGGAAAGACCCATCCATTTCCCTCCCCGTGTCTGTACAAGGAAGGCCACTTCACTATGCAAAACAAGCAGGTGGGGCAGGGCCCTACACTTGAAGTGGCCAGTAAGCCTTAACCTGTTTTGAAAGATGGTCTTCGCCAGTAGAGGAGAAACTATTTCTGGAGGAAACTTCCATGGTGAATACCCAGCCAAAGTAAGCTTTTCAAAAATGTGTTTGGTCCTGAATGCATAATCCAAGATAGGCCAACTAAACTGAAGCATTCTTTCAGGCCCTGGACTACTTGGCCATTGGTGTCCATGAGCTAGCTGCGATTAGTGAGAGAAGAATCGAAAGGCTCTGTAATCCTTCCCTCAGTGAGCTGCCAGCCTTCCTAGTGGCTGAAGGCGGCCTCAACTCTGGGTTTATGATAGCCCACTGCACAGCAGCGGCCCTCGGTAAGAGCCTCTCCCTCCTCCCACAACACAAGGCTGTCTAGCGAAAGGCGGGTCTGGTTTTGACTTTGAATGAGATCTCCACTTTTATTTTTACCCTCTTACCTCCCTCAGTACTAATGGAGCAGGATGACCCTTTTAACATGTTTCAGGGGAGAGAAAAAAAAAACCTCAACAATAGTGAAATATTACAATACAATTATGAGGTTGTAAATGGACAATGGTTCTGTGGAAAGCAATTTAATGATGCATAGGGACTTCATCCTTTCTTTTCCTTTTCTCTCTCTCTCTCTCTCTCTTGCTCTCATTCTTTCTTTCTTTTTTTGTGCCAGTACTAGAGCCTGAACTCAAAGCACTCACTACTTAGCATTCTTGCTCCTGTCTGACACTTTACTGCTTGGGCCATCCCTCCAGTTAAGCATTTCTCTGATTAATTGGAGATGGGGCTTCACAGACTTTCCTGCCCAGGCTGGATTACACGCACAGACCACCCAGCTGTGTGTGGACTTCATCTTTATAGTTTGTTTTCTTAACTCAATTAACTCAATGTGAAAGTTATTAAAAGGGAAAACACAAAAATGCTTATGAACCAGCCTGAACAATTAAACTTTGAAGACATTCTGATAAATATACCTACAAGTAAAAAAAAAGATGTTATTGCAACATATGAAAAATGTTGATGAGAAGCAATATGCCAACCAGGTGTGGCTGCTCATGCATAGAAAGTAGAGATAAGGAAATTATTCAACGCTCAGGGGTTAGAGTGGGAGTTAGCAAGATCCTATCTTACAGAACAATCTGGGCTTGGTACACATTTGTAATCCCAAGAAGTGTAGGTAGGAAAATCTGAGCACAAAACGTGAGACTGTGTGAAAAAAAATTAAATAACGAAAGGAAAAAGGGTTAGGGATGTGGCTCAAATGATAACTTACCTCACGAGTTCAAACCCCAATATGAGTCAATAAATAGCAATATGCAGTTCACCATAGCTGATTTCTGAATCAGAGTTTCCAGGGATACATAAGTAAGGATCAGAACAGTGTCAGACACAAAGAAAGAGTATGGCTTGTGCTTACTCACATAATCATGACAACAGATACCAGGAGAGAGGTGCTATTCTATCTTGATTTACAGAAGAATACTTGACCTGTGAAAGCCATTGATTTACTCAATATTGCACACTAGTCAGATGTAGAACTGAATTCAAACTCAGGCAATTTGGCTCCCAAACCTATACTCTCACTTCAGTGACTGAGGCTCTCACTATAATCAGTACTTGGTCTTATAACAGAGTTGCCAAGCTTAATAAAGAAAAATACAGGATGTCAGTTACATTTGAATTATCTGGGACAATAAAAATTACTAGAAAATGACTTGGGTAGAGTTTTTTTCTCTCAGAAATCCATATTCATCTAGGCATCCTACATTTTCTTCAACGATCCTTCCTCAAAAGGCAGGACAGCATGGCAGGTGGTTAATTGAAAGCATCCGGGCTGGATTTGAATCCAGTTCTGCTATTGACTTAACACTATCACATTAGGTCGCTGCTTCTTTTTCACTTAGCGTATATTAATTGAACAAATTAAGGAGTTTCATTTTGACATTTCCATATGAAGTTTCTTAATCCTATTGATGCTCAGTTAACCCCTGTGTAAAATGATGATGGTAAATTTATCTACTGGGGCTATTTGTGGGATTAAATAAAATCAATACATCCTTTGGAACTGTGCCTAGTACATCATGAGCACTCAACAGGTACTGATTATTATTAATAATATTATTCTTATACCTTTTCTCACCTTAACATCTCACTAGACACCCAACTCAAAGAATTACCAGAAAACCACTTGATATTCACTTTCTTTTCTGGTCCAGTATATTCTGCTTGCCCAGTTGTTTATTTATTAAGATGTTCCTGCAGCAGAGAAAGAGCCATCTTACTCCACAGGGTGCTGGTCACTATAATCCTTGGCTTAGGATCACAGAACTTGGGACTTATAATGCCAGAATTTATCAAATACTGGACTACCCACAACCACCTGATCACCCTAGTTTCAACCTGAGTCCTGGATGACACAGAAAAGTACCAAACTGAACCCAAGGTCGATGGAAGACTTTTGAGTGTGAAGCTTGCAGACTTCTGAAGCTGAGGAGAAAGAACTTGTCATTCTAGAGTCCTTGCTACTTAAAGTCTTCAACCAACAATATGATATCACCTGAGAGCTAATTAGGACGGGCTCTCAGGCCCCAACTCAAGATCAGTAAGGCAGTATAAGAAGATGTCTGAGACATTGATATACATAGTCAATCCAAGAGGTCTCGGTCACCTCCCAGAGGTATCTCTGGTCATGATCACAAGCCCTTGCTTAAACATGAAACGCCTACTTGTGCTGGACAGTGTGAATTGCTAAATCTTGCTGACTCTAGCTCTGGCCTCAGTCCTCCAATGTCACACCTGAATTCAAATCCCACCATTTCGCCTACCTAAGCAAGTTGTTCCTGACTACCGGCTGCACATCCAGGATGGCTTCTCTTTCCCAATCTCCCCCAGCATGCTGAATGTGTCTAATGTCTCCCGTGTGTAATCAGAGGACTTCAGAGCCTCAGCCCTGGTTGATCTCAGAGCTCATAGAACGTTGCAGCCCTTCTTCCTTAGGGGACAGAGAGGGAAGGAGAGCAACCTGCTTCCTTTTCCCCCAAGGAAAAGGGGCTTGGGTCCAGTCCAGAGCTCCTGGACAGAAAGAAGCTAGAAATGCTTGTCCAGCCCCCAGGGCTCCCTAACTTGCTGTGGTCTCGTGTAGTTTCAGAGAGCAAGGCTCTGTGCCACCCCTCGTCCGTGGACTCCCTCTCCACCAGCGCTGCCACCGAGGACCACGTCTCCATGGGCGGATGGGCAGCCAGGAAGGCCCTCAGAGTGGTGGAGCACGCGGAACAAGGTAAAGCCCGTGAGCGGGGGATGGAGGACCTTCCTGGCTCACCCCATTTCTGGGATGCTCATTCGAAAGACAGGTTCTTGGGCCTCCTCCCAAGTCTGAGCTAGAAACCTTAGGGAGGGGAGCAGAGCAAGTCTGCCAGCCTTTCGGATGCTTGCTGAGGACTAAGAATTGGGGATTATGAAAAGCTAAACTGGCACACTTGGCTGGCTTCCCCCCCCTTTTACTTTTTCAATGAAATTTTTTTTCAAAACACACTGAGAATTGGGGAGGAGGGTACCAGCAACCTCCCACACCTCATCCTAATTCACATTTCCCCCATGTTTTCTTTTATTCCCCCAAATTATTTGAATCAAATTCCCAATAGCCCCTACCTACTTTCTGTCTTCAATACTTGTGTTTTCTTTTTTAACAGGGCTCCATTACCCCACCCAACAAAATTCCACATTGAGTCCTTTGCAGTGGGTTGGGTCAAATCAGGATTCAAACTTAACAGTGTGTGTGTGTGTGTGTGTGTGTGTGTGTGTGTGTGTGACACACACATGTGCCTGAGTGCATTATTTCCACAACTTGAAATCTGAGCCTCCAGCTCTTTCTTGGGTTTTACACTTGAATCACATCTCCACTTCCAGATTTTTGCTAGTTAATTGAAGATAAGAGTCTCAGAGACTTTTTTGCTCAGGCTGGCTTCGAATTGGGATCCTCAGATCTCAGAATCCTGAGCAGCTAAGAATCTATGAGCCATAAGCGCCCATCTTGAAGCCTATTTTCAAAATTTGATTATAATGATGCTTTTCATTTAGAACAGTCCTAGACTTTTTTCCCTCCCCTCCCCCCAGGTAAGGCCATATTGTTGACCCAAGTCCTGGGAGTTCTACACTCCTAAGGAGCAAGGACGTAAATGGCCAAGTTTCTTCTCCCCAGCCAAAAAGAAAGTCAGCAAGGTTCAAACTGAGACTATTTGACTAGTTGAAAATCAAAGTTTTTTTTCTTTTATAAGCAAACTGACATTCTGGAATAAGTTCTTCCTGTCACTTCTTTTTTTCCCCCTGATCAGCTTGCTCCTTTGTTTGCTCAACTAGTGCTCTACCACTATACCTCCAGCTATGCTTTTTGCTACTTTTTTCTGGAGACGGAGTCTCACATTTTTCTTCCTGGATTAGCTTCAAACTACCATTCCTGAGAACCTCAATTGATTAGCTAGGATTACAGGCTTGAGCCATCAGCATCTGCCTTCCTTGCATCACTTTTAATTTATATTTTGTTCTGAGTATTTCTCAAAGATTGAAATGGACAATGGACTTGATAAGATGTAGATTCAACTGTTTGACAAAAGCATTTTTTTCTAAGAGAGTTGCACTAAAATTCCCTTTCCCTTTGACTTCTTTGTTGCTTGTGGTTTTTTGTCCTTGAAGGAAAGAGAACTTGACTTCCTTTAAACATGGTCCTCTGGGTTTCTGAGTATGTCTAAGGACAATGCATAAATATTGCTGAATGAAGAATATCACCATTTTAAGAGAAATATGTCATTGCTTTGAAGCAGCTATTTCAAGATACAATTCACTTGGTTGTTTTTTGTTTATTTGTTTTGAGATGAGGACTTGTTTTGCAGCCCTGGCTCTAAATGAATTTTCAGTCCTCCTGACTCTACCTCTCAAATACTGAAATTACAAGCATGCACCATCATATTAGGTTAACATTCATTTAAATTGTATAGTCTGGTGATTTTCATATGTTCACAGAATTATGTTATGATCACCACGATCAATTTAGAACTCAAGGCCTGCAAACTCTTCCTGAGCTTTTTTACTCAAGGTTAGCACTCTACCACTTTGAGCCACGGCACCACTTTTGATTTCCTGGTTGTTAATTGGAGGTTGGAGTCTCATGGAGTTTCCTGCCTGGGCAGGCTTTGACCACAATCCTCAGAGCTCAGCCTCCTGAGTAATTACAGGCATGAGCCACCTGCTCTCGGTATAGCATGTGTCTTCTCTATGTAACTACAAGGTCTTCCCACTCCTTTCCCCAGGAAGCTCCTGAGCTTTGCTGACCTAGAAGTTTTACTGGTCTAGGGTGTGAATTCAGGGCCTAGACACTGAGCTTTTATACTCAAGGTTAGTGCTCTACCACTTGAGCCACAGATCCACATTTGGCTTTTGGGCAGTTTATTGGAGATAAGAGTTTCACAGACTTTTCTGCCCAAGCTGGTTTTCAACAGTTATCGTTAGATCTCAGCCTCCTGTGTAGCTCAGATTATAGGTGAGAGCCACAGATGCCCCAACATAAAGTATGGGATCTTATTTGTCTTAATCACAACTCTCAATGGGCCTGAAACATATGAACAGGACCTGGCACAAACTTGTTGATCAAATGTTTGTGTGACAAATGTTTGTACGTCAAGATGATAGATAGATCTGATTCATGACGTGTTGTTCTCTTCCTTTATATCAGGAGAGTGCAGTTGGCAACAAACGATTAAAAACAATTGTCATTTGTATCACATGCATATTCATTACCCACTTTTGATTTGATTACAGATATTTAAATCTTGGAATCCAGTAGCACTGGCTATAAAGTATAAGATGAAGAACCTGCTTATCCTAGCAACTAGTGATTGTTCATAGTATTGGTAATGAATGTGGGAGCTTCATGAGACTTAATCCACCAAGCTGGGGTAGAAGGGCATCTACCATTTGATCCCAGTGGATTGAACAGGGAATGAAATCAGAGATGCTTGGCTTCTGTTTTCATGGACACTAAAGTCTAGACAGAGAAGCATAGGTTGTATGACAACTTGGTAACTCTATAGCACTTGATAAAATTTTAAGGAATGAAGTAGAGGAGAATATTAACTAAATCAGATCTAGTATGGAGGGACCAGAAAGGCATTTCCAAAGGGATGTCTAAGGTTAAGTCCTGAACAGCGCACACACACACCCACACACACACACACACAAAACACATAACACACAGAGTACTAATTTTGCAAGGGAAAGGAAGACAGTGGCACAAAATAAATTGAGGTGAAGATCCTTACAAGAGGACATCCAAGAACAGATACCCAAAAGCTTGGGAGAAACACAGGTATAAACTAGCCCCCTAAGAAGATAAAAATAAGTAGAATCCAAATTTTAGAACTTGGGAATATATTTGCAGTGTATCTAAGTCAATCATATATTTGCAGTATATCTAAGTCATAACGTTACTTATTTGTTCAGCATGGTTATTTCTTGTGAGTTATGCTGATAAGATGAAAAGAATTAATTATGTAAGGGGGGAAGATGTTTCCATGATTCTTTGGATATTTTCTTTTTTTTGGGCGGGGGGGGTCCGGTCCTGGGCCTGTACTCTGGGCCGGATCACTGTCCCTCAGCTCTTCAGCTCAAGGCTAGCGCTCTACCACTTGAGCCACAGCGCTACTTCTGGCTTTTTTCTTTTTGCTTATTTGGTGCTGAGGAATTGAACCCAGAGCCTCATGCATGCAAGGCAAGCACTCTACCACTGAGCCACCTTCCAAGCCCCTCTTTGGATATTTTCAATGCATTAAAAAATATCTTAGAGACTGGGAGCTTGGCTTAAGTGGTAGAGCACCTGCACTGCAAGTATAAGGGCCCTGAGTTCAAGCCCCATTACCACCAAAAAGCAAAACAAAAACAAAACAAAACAAAAAACTTGGATGGTTGAAGTGGCTATTAGGCCACAAGGTATCAGCTTAGTTCAAAATAAAAGCCACAGAAAAAGCATCCAGCTAAATAAAAATGCAGTGCACACTTTGAATTCATAATAATGAAGCGTGCAGTTTTTGAGTCCCAGTAAATGAGTTTAGGGAGTTTAGGGGAAACTGCTGGCTATGGAGAGCAAACGGTCACAGATGTGGTAACCTGGGGATTTAATATTTCTCTTGTAGATATTTACCTCTCAATCTATAGATTGCCCTCCTTTGAGGTTGCAACATATTACTAACACATTGAGAATTCTCTGTGGGCAACCTTATAACTCCTTTAATCTGCACCATTACCCCAGAATGTATGGACTGTTGTCCCATTTTGTAGATCAGATACCCAAAGCACAGGTTCCTGTAATGTAATGTGCCTGAAAGCTTTAATACCAGCGCTGGGGTTTAATCCCAGGTGATTGGTCCAAGTCTCCCACCCCACCCACTCCCACCTTATGCCTCATTACACCTCCATGTACAGGACCATTCTCTATGTGCCCCTGTCCCAGCTGCCTCAGAATATAAGATATGATAGTGCCCCTGAAGCTGGCCAATGAGGTAGTTAATCTGCCAATTTATTATGATTTACTACAATCATCTAAGTGGCTGTAGATGAAAAAAAAAATCTTTTCTCCCTTACAAACTCCTGCCCAACTTTAGTTTTAGATAAGTAACTGTTTCCTATTTCTACCTTTATGTAAATTGTGAGTTGTTTTTAGACCTGATATTCCCTTTGGCTTGAGAGATCTGTCCTCATTTAAAGTTGGAAGGAGCCAGTGAATGAGCAAGGATGTCTGATTACCATGGAACTAATTCTGTAATGACCATTTCATGTCTTTAAATCCACTAGAACTGAAATTCTAGAACTTAGTACCTTGTCAACTGTTAAGTTTTCCCATCCAGTAATAGTCTTCCTTTGCTTTAAAAAAAACTTTTATTTAATGTACCATACCTTGCAATATACTTGACTATTAAAATTGACATTTCTCTACATTTGATACTAAGCAATTAAGAATTTTTCAGATTACAAAAAAAAGAATTTTTAAGATAAGATTGAACCACTCTGGATTCCATTATTTGCCAAGGAAATTTGTGGGGGCGGGTAGGTCTTGGGGCTTGAACTCTGTGCCTGAGTGCTGTCCCTCAGCTCTTCAGCTTAAGACTAGTGCTCTACCACTTGAGTTATAATGCTACTTCCAGTTTTGTGGTGGTTTATTGGAGATATGAGTTTCACGGACTTTCCTGCCCTGGCTGGCTTTGAATCGCAATCCTCAGATCTCAGTCTCCTGAGTAGCTAGGATTACAGGAGTGAGCCACCAGCGTCCAGCTTCCAAGGAAATACTTTAGAAGCTTAAAGATGATTAGAACACATACATGGTGAACTCAAATCAAGCGTAAAATTATTTGATGTCTTGTCTTTCAATCCATGAAGCACATTATGAATTCTGGTGAGTATGGAAAGTCACACGAGGAGAGGATGAAGAATCCATTGTGGATCTGGAATGCCCTCACTTCATGTACACAGCAAATTATGAGCAAGGAAGTACCTTAGTTAAGAGGTCTGGGGCTCCAGAACTGAGCTGACTTCCTTCCTTACTCATATTTACAAACTTTGATTGGGGGATCTGAATGGGAGGAACTGGAAGATTTTGCTAGGGTAGCCTAAAGAACAGCTTCCTAGGATGGTTAGGGAGCCTGTTATTCTTTCCAGGGTAAATGTCTCCATTTTCTCTTTCTTACCATTAAAGACAGATCCAAAGAGCCGCCAGGATACCAAGGTGTCTTTCTTCTACCAATAGAGAACTAGCCATCTGTTGGTTGGTGAACGAGAGCTGCAACTTTGTGTGATTTCTGTTCTTCAAGCATGAAGTCAGACTTCAATCAACTACTGCCTTGTCATTTTTGTTTTAGTGCTGGCCATCGAGCTCCTCGCAGCCTGCCAGGGCATAGAGTTTCTACGCCCCCTGAAAACAACCACTCCACTGGAGAAGGTCTACGACCTGGTGCGCTCTGTTGTAAGGTAAAGTCAACAGGTCCTGCGTGTCACACCAGATCAGAACCAAGAACCTTGGCAGAGCTCAGTGTTCACCTGAATGATTGGTACATTTTCTTCATAGGCCCTGGATTAAAGATCGCTTCATGGCTCCGGACATTGAGGCGGCACACAGGCTGCTACTTGAGCAGAAGGCAAGATGGCTACTTGCTTAATTCTTAGGTTGGGGTTATTATAGGAAATCAAAGTGGGAATGCTGCCATAGTCTATTGCCTTCTGGGTCCTTGGAAGTAAACACAAAGGTACAGAAGCAACGTGACTAAGAAGTCGAACTGCCCAGCTAGGGGTTGGAAGTTGAAATGAGTTGCAGCTGGAATTTAGGAATGGGCATTCCTGGAGAGAAAATGAATCAAAGCGTCTCAGATTCCTTCTCCGCAAGATGGCCTCTTTCTTTCACAAGTACTTTCTCCTGGTGACGTTAGCACAGTACCACCACAAAGTGTAAGCCTGCATAGACCTGGGACAAGGAATTACCAGGCATTTTTACTCCAAAGGACCTTGAGTCCACCTAATATTCTGCTGTAGCCTGTCCCTGGCTGCGGGAGATATGGGCTTTCTTCTGATTGCATGAGCATAGAGTTAGCTGAATGATACGAGTGCTTAGTGTTCTGGTTCATTATATATACAGTACATATTATATGCTATGAAAAGATAAAATATCTTTTGTATTGTGTGTGTGCGTACGCACATGCGCACACATGCACCTTAAACCTTTCAAATAATTTATATCATGTTGTCTAGAATCACTTGATTCCCCCCTCCCCACCCCTGGCACTGGCCCGGAGCTTTTTTGCTCAGGGTTAGTGCTCTATTACTTGAGCCACAGCTCTACTTCCCACATTTTTGCTCATTAACTGGAGATAAAAGTCTCCTGCCCGGGCTGACTTTGACCCATGATCCTCAGATCTCAGCCTTCTGAGGAATGTTGCTCTGCTCAAGGGAAACAATTTTCTCTTTGATCTTAACCTCTCAGTTGAAGAAAAGCTACTTATCTGCTGCCAACTCTGGGGCTAATAGAAAGGTGTGGGAGGAGCTAGCTGGTCAGAACGTACAGTCTGGGAGGTAAGTCCCGAGAGAAAGAAAGATCTCCCTGGGTGGCAGGGGCCAACAGAAAAAAAAGGCAACTTTAATCCTAAAAACCTTAATTTGAGAAGATTTTACTAATTTTTTTATTATGCCTTCAATAAAAGAGATTGGTGGATAGAGAGGGAAAAATACCAAAGCAAAACAAAACCAGGAGTCGAGGGCACGTTCCTCAGGTGTAATGTGTTTGTGACTCTCCTGGCCACCTTGCAAGAATGCAGCTTTGGATTCGGTAGATCTGGGATGGGGTAAATGGCTGCAGGGGGAAGGATGCTGAGACTGTGATTTATCCCAGGCAGGACTTACAGGGCTAGAACATAGGTCACACTTCAGCAGCAAGAGGCAAGCATTCATAAGTACAGAGCGCTTATGGCATGGAAATCAAGCCCTGGGGAAATCCAGCATGTTGCCCTTCATCATTCAAGGCTTGCTTTAGAAAGCACACCATCATATCAGACCCTTGAGCCAAGCATCCTTAATTCTGTGCATACCGAATCTTCTAGGTTCTGTTTCTTGTGCATTTGCTTCTTTTGCTTTGAAAGGGAAAACAATACCTTAGAACAGATTTGGACTGTGGCAGTAGGCAAACACTGTACCACAGCATCCTTATCCTATTGGAAAATAGGACAGAGTCTCACTGACTTGTCCAGGTAGGCCTCAAAGTTACAATCCTTCTGCCTTAAACCTACCCAATAGCAGGGATTATATCCATGTACTACCACCCCAGCTTCCACACCATTTTTTTTGAGATTGATCCTGAAGCTTGTGCGTTCTACACAAGTGCTCTGCCACTGTACCACATCCCCACCCCAGTGAACTTTGTATTTTTAAAAAGCCTTTAATGCACCCAGAAACTAATTGACACACATCATGTGTCAAGTAGCTTCCAATAAGTACAAACAAACCGTCACTATGTGTTTAATCAGATGAAGAGGATGTTTTCGCTTAGGGTGAAGTCCATGTTTATTAGGACAGGGAAACAAGGTTGTGGCTCTCTCAACTCTGTTCTATCCTTGCTCTCCAGGTTTGGGAAGTGGCTGCACCATACATTGAAAAGTACAGAATGGAGCATATTCCAGAATCAAGACCTGTTTCCCCAACCGCCTTTTCCTTGGAATCCCTACGCAAGAAATCCATCAAAATCCCAGAGTCTGAAGACTTGTAGTGGACATTGTGTTCTAGATGAGCAGGTCAGTTGTCACTTAGCTGATTCCAAGACAGTACTGTGCTGAAAGAGAGGCCTGGAGACAGCCCACCATGTAACACAGCTTCTCTAAAACCTGCTTTGGTTAGGCTGGTGGCAATTCCAGCATTGGATCCTTGTTGCTCTGGTGAGAGGTACAAAGTGTCTCCAGGTTAGAGGGTTTTTTTTAATTATTATTATTTCTTAGTATCATCAGGCTACTCATTCTTAACAATCACCCTTGCGTTGATCTATTGTTTTTCCCCTCTTTAAAATGTGGAAACAGGTGGCTAGCATTCATTTCTTTAAAAAAAAAAAACTTGAATTCTGTGAACCTTATGATTTTGCTTTTTTGTTTTCTTGGTTTGTTTGTTTTGGTGCTGGTCCTAGGGCTTGAACTCAGGGTCTGGGCACTAACAATGAGCAATTTTGCCCAAGACTAGTGCTCTACTACTTGAGCCATAGCTCAATTCTAGGTTTTGCATGATTAATTGGAGAGAAGAGTCTCACAGACTTTTTGGCCCAGGCTGGCTTCAAACCGAGATCCTCAAATCTCAGCCTTCTGTGTAGCTAGGATTCCAGATGCAAGCCACCTAGATCTGGCTTTGTTTTTTCTTTTGCTAGTTGACTTTCTTTGGCAGATTATGCTGTGCCCTAGTATGACAATTGTTCCTTTGTCAATAACCGCTTTCAGTCCTAATTTGTCCTTAAGCCACCCTTCCTTTTATAATTGAATCACAGTATAGAATCATGAGTATGCCTTCAATACAGAAGTAGTTAAAAGGCACAAAAGCATTATGTGGTAAGGAGTTAAAGAATGAAGATTGATATTTAAATCCTATCTACTCAGGAGGCTGATATTTAAGGATCTCCAGTTGAATCCAGCCTAGACACACAAATCCAAGAGACTCTTGTCTCCATGTACTTGCAAAAAGCAGCAGTGGAGATGTGGCTTAAGTGATAGCGTATCAGCCTTAAGCCAAATAGCTAACCAGAGTGCAAGATCCTGACTTTAATCTCAATACTGCACCAAAAGAAGAAAAAGAGGAGGAGGAGGAAGAGGATTATGGGTATCTGGGTGATCTTTGCTGAACTGTGTCATGCTGAACAACACGTTCAAGAGTTGGAGTTTGCAGTGAGCATGATGATGTCTACATTTATAATAACCCTGTGAAACAGCCTCACTGCACAGATCAGGAATCTGTGTGGGTTGGCCAGTTCCTTCCCTGTAATGGTAATCTTTGGAACTATTTTGACACAGGTCAGCTAGGGTTCTACAAGGTATTGCCTAATCTATCTCCCCTGCCCCAACCCCCCAAAAAAGAGACAAAGGATCCTACGGGTAGGCTCAAATGTAATTGTTCGGGAGAAGAATGGGTCACGTGACCTGTAAACTTTCCAAGGCTGACTCTGTGCAAGTATGGGCAAAGCACTCCATGTGCAGGAAGCTGAAACTAAAACTGCAGCTGGTCAACCTAAGGAAGCTGAAACTAAAACTGCAGCTGGTCAACCTAAGGACAGACATTTGCTTACTGACCACAGCCTAGGATGGGCCCCACATTATGTTTCACAATCAAAACTTCACCCTTTAACATGTACCTTGTCCACAGGAAAGGTGAAAACTTTCACCCAAGTGAGAACTGCTGGAGACAGCAAATCATAAAGGGGGAAAATGGGCTGAGGAACGTGTTTATCTAAAGGAGGTTCTTGGCACCATCCTTTGCTGGCTGAACACATACAAGTAGTGATGGTTCTTTCTTACACACGAGTGCAGCTGAGCTCCTGAACCCTAGCAGATGGTTGTTTTTCCCATCAGTTTGGACAATATTAGATTCCTTTAGGACACAATGACTCTTGGTCATGGGGGTTTTCTATACTGCTCTGTTATTGAGTTATATCACCTATCTTCAAGATAACTATGAAATAAATTGTATATCCTAATGGTCTTGCTGTCACTTTATTCTTAGAATTTCTTCTTCCCTTAGCTGCTGGGGACTGAGCCCAGAGTTCTGTATGTGCTAAGTATATGCTGTACCCCCAGTCCCTATTGAATTTTTTTCTGAACAGTTTTGGGGATTTTGTTTTTGACAATGCTGGGGTTTGGCCTCAGAGCCTCATGGTTACTAGGTAAGTATTTCTACTACCTGACCTATAATTCAAGTCCTTGGGATTTTTGTTTGAAGTTTTTGGGAAATAGGGTCTCACAGTGTAACCCATGCTAGCCTTGAATGCAAGATCTTCCTCTTGCCTCTGCCTCACAAGTGCTGGGATTACAAGTGTGCACTGTCACACTTGGCTTAAAGATTAAGAGCTCTTTAAGGAATGCTATTTTAAAGGTAGGTCATTGGGTTTCTGAAAGACACAGTCACCAATGGATAATGTCTTTTAGAAAATATGATGGACCCGGTGTACGCTTCCCTCTTTTGTCTTGAGTATCAGGGAAAGAATTGGACACATCAGGTCTCTTCAGGGAGGGGAACTCACCTGGCTTCTCCATCTGTCTCAGGTTAATTGGGAGGGCGTGACCCCAAACAAGGACTCTTCATGCTTCTGCTGTGCCAGCTCTGCTGATGTTCTAGTAACAACAAGCCACAGGACACTCCTAGTGGCAGTCAAGGCATGCATGTGCTTTGGCAGGATCTGTAGCTGTTAGATAAGGGGAAAAAAAGAAGATCTCTTTCAATTGCTTTAAACTTCTTGTTTCCGGGTCTGCTTCCTGTACTATCTTTTTTTTTTTATTAATAGTATAGTTATCAACACTATGATCATTTTGGCCACTGTATTCCTATCTTTTTATTAAACATGTTATTCCGTGTGCAGTAAAACCATTTTGCCCTTTTGTTATCTGTGTTAAAGGTACTAGTTTATCAAATGTGAACGTTGGAAGTACATCTCCCCCCCACCAAAGGAAAAACAAAGAGAAAGAGAAATGGAGACCATTTGAATACTGGGAGATGTGGGCCTGATTAAAGATGGGTTTGTTATTGTTGTTGTTCCATGGTTATTTCAAAAAGGGAAGATTTGGGCACTGGTGGCTCATGCTTGTAACCCTAACTACTCAGGAGACTCAGATTTGAGGATTGCTGTTTGAAACCAGCCAGAGCAAAAAAGTCTGTGAGACTCTTTTATCTCCAATTAACCCCCAGAAAACCAGAAATGGCGCTGTGGCTCAAAGTGGTAGAGTGCTAGCCTTGAGTGAAAAAGCTCAAGGACAGTGCCCAGGCCCTGAGTTCAGGCCCCATGACCAACAAACAACAACAAAAGGCTGAGATTGCAATTTAAGTCAGTGAGAAAGAGAAGAGATTTATTTGAGGTTTCTGGCAAAGTATTTTCTGCCCTGAGAACAGGAAGCCACCTTTCTTCCTTGACCTCAATGGGTAGACACAGAGCTACACCTGTTGACAGCCAGAGTTAGGCCACTGTGGATGGCAGAGGAGGGAAGAAATCTGGCTCTTCCACTCCATTGAGCTTCTTAGATAAACTAATCTGGAACCTACTCTGCCTCTGAGGTGGCGATGATAAGCAAAGACTCCCATGTTTTTGATGCTTGTTGCTCTTAGCATCCTACCTGGTCCAGCCACTGTCAAGGAGGGGCTGTACCAGGACTGGAGTTTATCAACTGTGTCATGCAATTCTGTATTTAGGCTCTTCCCATCTACTATACTATAACAACCACTGCACAACCAACACATGTGCCCTAGAGGAAGACAGAAGAGCTGCCATGTTGGATGCCATGATAATCCATGCTGGAAGCCATTCATGTCAGGGAACCACCCTTGTGTTTGGCCAATTTCCATCATTAAACATATGGGAACTAAGATGTCCTTGGTCCTTGCCCTCACAGTTCATATTCCAGGCATTGGACCAAAGGAGGAAACCATGGTAATGTGTGCAAACACTATGGGAAAGCAGATTGGGGAAGGGGCAGTCATGAAAAGCAAAAGTTTGTGCTAAAGGTACAGTACGGGAAGAAACACTGGAAGTGTTCACACAACTCTGAGATCTTAGGATGAGTGGGGTAGATCATTGTGACTTCAGGAGTTTCCACCTTCTGGGTACCAGGCATGCCATGACCATAAGAGTTTCTGTAGAGCCCCTTGGAAAACACGTGGATTCATAGTTTGAAATAATGTTCCATCAGGGAGAAAAAAGGCTTACTAAGAGACCCAGAGCTTCATGCTTCGGGGAAAATCTGGCCAAACTGATTTAAATAATGAAATGAATGTGTCTCATTAGTGTAATTTCTTGTAAGAGAGCAAGCTCTTCATACTATAGATTCTACTTAAAAAAAAAAAAATCCAAAGCTGGGCACCAGTGGCTCACACCTGTAATCCTAGCTACTCAGGAGGCTGAGATCTGATTGTGGTTCAAAGCCAGACCGGGCAGGAAAGTCCGTGAGACTGTTATCTCCAATAAACTACCAGAAAACCGGAAGTGGCATTGTAGCT